GCAATCAAAAGAGGAGGGGGGACACAAGAAACGTTGGACACGTCGTCAATTACAAAGTTACGATTTTATACGAAAAACGTTCAATCAATCAAGAATGATAACAGATTTCAAGATTTGTTGGCAGATTTGTGTATGCTGGGCAATTGGGATATTGTTTTCGTGAATGAAACGTGGAGATTTGCTGAGGAAGAACAGTTCGAAACGGAACATGGACACGTCTTCCTGGGGGCTGGAGGGGCCATCAACCGAAGTGGAGTGGCAGTTTTAGTACATGAGCGCTGGGCTCCTGGCATATCGTCATTTACAACCAGCGGCGATCGTCTCTGTTGGCTGGACATTCAGTTTGCACAACAATCGTTTCGGCTTGTCTCTGTGTACATGCCGGATTCTGCATATCCAGATGCAGATGTTGAGGCCGTGTACACAACATTAGAGCGCTTACGGCGGCAAGCGAGACAACGGGGCCATTTTTTTGTAGCAGGAGGCGACTGGAACGCAGTCTTAGGCATTGGCGGCGATTCGTGCGACAACCAATTTATTGGCGAACATGGGATGGGAGAGCGGAACGAACGAGGAGACTCGTTGGCCGCATTTCTATCAGAGAACACGTTATCAGCTACAAATACATATTATCCCATGCAAGACAGCAATAAATGGACCCACAGAAATGGCGTTCACAGGCGCCAGATCAATTTTTTTTCTGCGTGTGCCGCCAGGCGAAAGAAATGATGACGTTTTCGGGCGCAAAAGATGCAATCGGAGTTGGAGCAGACCACAGGGCTGTCATTTTGTGTTTGAAAATGCACTCGGAGAAGGATGGCGGCCGTCGCAACGCACGGGCGGCAAGACCTAGGGGGCAGAAGCGTGATCCTCAAGACGATTATGCCTCGCGCGTTGAGTCTGCCATACGATCAAATACAAAAATGCAATCAGAGGAGCGGGGGCGACCACCCGCAGCGGCAGCGTGTGAGGAGTTGGAAGAATGTTTGAAAACATCTGTGAGACAAGAAGGGAGCACAGCAGAAAAACCGAAGCACGACCAGACAAAGCTGCCGCCGAACGTACGCGCATTGATGGCTGAACGACGAGCTGCGCGTAGAGGGGAAGGAGAACACAGACCAATGAAAGTAATTTGTAAAGAATTGCAACGTGCATTTCGGGACTTTGAGCGCCAGCGAAAGACGGAGCAAATCGATAAGATCTTGAGTGAGTTCAAGAACATAGGGCGCATCAAAGACATTCACAGCAACTTCAGGAGAATGCGGCTCACAAGCGTGGTAGATAAAGATGGTAACGTTCGGTCAGATAGACAGGGAATCGTCGACGTCTTCGCTGATTTCTACGAGGACTTGTATAGAGCTCGAGAGGGGCCGGCGGCGGGCAGCGACGCGGACAGAAGCAGGGACGACGCGTTTGTTATACCGTCAGTTACAGCAGCAGAAATTGGCGACCATGTGAGAAAGTTGAAGAAAGGGAAGGCAGCGGACTCGAAAGGGATCGTCGCCGAAATGTTCAAAGTTGGTGGAGAGTATTTACACCAAGTGCTAGCCGACGTCTTTACGAGCATTCTGGTCCACGGGGACGAGCCGCCAGAGTCGTGGAGGCACAACTGCGTGAAGGTGCTGTTCAAAAAGGGAGACCCGAAGCTCCCTGGAACTATCGCCCCATCACCATTTTACCGATTATGTACAAGCTGTTCGCCATGGTTCTCAACCGAAGGCTAGAGGCATTCCTGGGGAGACAGCAGTCCACAGACCAAGCAGGGTTCCGGAAGGGTTACAGCTGCGAAGACCATCTGGTGACGTTGACAATCATTTGCGAAAAGGCAAAAGAGTTTAACATCGACGTCTGGGTTGCTGCAGTGGGTTTTGAGAAGGCGTTTGATTCCGTTAGTCATACTGCAATTCGGAATGCTCTGCGCGAGCAAGGAGTCCCGGAACCCTACGTGCAGGTGTTGAAGCGCTTGTACACGAGACAGACAGGGCAGGTTGTCTCCGACTGCCAAAGCCGCACTTTTGTCCTCGGAAGAGGGACCAAGCAAGGAGACCCTATGTCGTCAACTATATTCAACGCAGTGCTTGAGTCTCTGATGCGCAAAGTAAAGGAAAAGTGGGGGGCAGCCAGATTTGGGTTCAAAATGCAGCCGTGGACGTTAACCAATCTGCGTTTTGCGGATGACATACTCCTACTCGGGTCCACCCGGGCGCAAGTGCGAAGAATGCTTGAAGATTTGAACGATGCGGCAGCTGCGGTTGGTCTGAAAATACACGCTGGGAAAACCAAGATCATGTCAAACATGCAGAACCGAAAGGGCGTATTGCGCCAACGTCATGTGCGGGTGGGCGAAGCACAAGTCGAGCTGCTCCCTGTCAAAAACAGCACGGCGTACCTTGGCAGACAGCTGACCCAGACTACCACGACGTGGAGATCCGGAACCGCATTTCGAAAGGCTGGGCGGCGTTTGGACGGTTCAAGGGCGAGCTGTGCAACAAGCACTACCTGTTGAAATCCAGATTCAGATTATTCGACGTTGTCGTGTCCTCTACAGTGCTCTACGGCAGCGGTACTTGGACGCTCACCACGGCAAGATCACACAAGCTCAGTGTTGCCATGCGTAAAATGCTCAGGAAGATCGTTGGCGCAGGCAGGGCGCCAGACGAGTCTTACGTTGACTGGATCAAACGAGCAACGCATCACGCCGAGCAGGAGCACGAGAGATTTGGCTTCCCAACGTGGCTGCAGGCGCAGGACGTGCGCAAGAGCAAACTCTTCCAAAAACTGCAGGAGTGCACAGACCGGCGCTGGGGGAGCCTTGCACTGAAGTGGGACCCCCTGGGCAGAAGGTCCACAGGGCGCCCAGCGAAACGATGGACCGACTAAATGTTGATTGTCTCTGTCACATGTTCTGCCACATCTCTGTCACATTTTTCTGTTATATATATATATATATATATCTCTGCGGAGTTTCTGTGTCGTCATCATCTACAGTGCAGCATTTTGCGCGAGAACTGTCAAGAACAATGGGTCTGTCAAGAACAATGGGTCGTCATCATCTACAGTACAGCATTTTGTGCGAGAGTATTCAAGAATGGGCGGCGGCAACAGAGGAGTGTGTTGCTGCACACGCAGCAGCCCGCGCAGGGCGCGCTCCGGCGCATGCTGCGACCCTGACCCTGACCCTGACCCTAGGCAGAGTTAAGCATCCTCAGGAGTCCTGGGGAATCCTTAGGATTCCCTAGGAATCCTTAGGAATCCCCAGGAATCCATAGGAATCAGGATTCCTAAGGATTCCTAAGGTTTCCGAAGGGTTCCCATGGATTCCTAAGGATGCCTAAGGATGCCTTAGGAATCCCTAGGAATCCTTAGGAGTCCATTGGATCGTAACGCCGTTGCCACTGCGACTGTCATTGCCAATGCGACTGCGACTGCGAGAACAGCAGAATTCTACAACTGGATTCCCACCTCAATCTTAAGGGGAATGCTTCCAGATATGCTTGTACACATCGCTGCTAGGTCGCTTTGTCGGGATACTCCTTATAAACATCTTCTCCATTCCTTTTCCTTCTCACATAATTTCTCCCTGTCGCACCCCGAGGCCTGTTTTTGGAGCGGGCCGGGCGTTTCGCCTGAGACTTCACCACTTGTGACCCTGAAGCTTAAACATCGGATTGAGGGCGGCCCGTTTTCAACATGTGGCTCTCGCCTTAGCGCCGCGTGCATTCGTCGTAACAACGCAAGAGCTTCGCGGATTGAGGGCGACTCCTTTTCAAAGTGCGGCTCTCGCATTAGCGCCGCGAGCATTCTTTTTTTTACACACTCCAAGAATTTCACGAATTCCCATGACCAGCGTATCAGAAATGGCGTTCTAGAAAAATTCAGGATTATGATGGTGCAGCAGTTCCGTTGATTCGCGGTGTTGAAGTCCCAGGAATGGCGTTCTGTCAAGATGCAGGATCACCAAGACGCAACAGTCAGTATGATCTGTGGCGTTGGAATCCCGAGATTATTGTGTTGGCATGCTTCAAGGTCTTCAAACGGTTGTCTTCCGAGGAAACAGCTGCTTCAGTGTAAATGAACCGTTATAGGGGCCTGTGAAGAGGGAGCTTGGAGGAAGGGTTTACCCCAACACCGTTGATGTCTCTTGGGTTTACACTGGTCCTCCTCCTCCTCGTCCGCGCTCACTGTCGCTGCCGCTGCCGCGCATGTATGTTTTGAGACTCTCGGCTGGTCCGTGATCCCTGGGTGGGCTGAATCACGATTGTGGGTTCCGTTCAGGGAGCGTCGTCTTGCTGACCTCTATTCCGCCGGTCATGCGCAAGGCAGCCGCCTGGCCGCTCCACAGCGCCGTATCTTCAATCGGTGGCTAGAGCAAGGTGATGATGCGACGCAGCACCCACACATCATTGCCCCCTCCAGGATGCCGCTCGCGCGTCGGGAGTGAGTGTGTATGAGTGTGAGTGGGTCCCAGTGTGTGAGTGTGTGTGTGTGTGAGTGGGCGTATATGTGATTGCGTCTTGATGTGAGCGTGTAGGAGCAAGTGCTGATTCGAGTGTGAGTGAGTCTGAGTATGAGCAAGTCTGTGTATGAGAGGGTCCGAGTATGATCGTCTGCATTCGAGAGTTTAGCATATGAGTGGCAGATGGAGGCGCCAGTAATTGGATATGAGTTAGTACTCACATGAGTGAGTGTGAGCCCGTCTGAGTGTGAGTTAGTCCGAGTATCACGGAGCCTGCGTGTGAGTGAATCTAAGTACGGCTGAGTCTGAGTGTGAGTCAGCCTGGTTGTGGGAGAGTCTGCGTCGGTGTGGACCTCACTATGAAGTCGGGAAGGCTGGACGGAAGGACGGAAATATTTGGAAGCATCGTTCTAATCATAAAGGCACCCCCGTGCGTGGGGTAAAGGGCAAAGCGTCCAGGAGCAACTGTTTCCAGTCCTCGGCCCATAAGGATCGAAGAGGTGGTGGAGGACGAGGAGGAGACGCGAAACCAATACCGCCGCAGCACCGGCGACGAGACGCTTGACCGGGACCAGCTCGAGCGGTGGCTGCGGGAGGACTGCCCAGGACGACGGCGATCGACTACACGTACGAGTGACCTCTGGCCGGAGTGACCTCTGGTGCGGGCACAATGGGGTCCCCCGATCACCGATTGCGATGCGACAGCAGCGTCTTGCGCGCCTGAGTTTGGTACCCCCGCGGCGATGCCCCGCGTTCCTCTCCTCCTCTCCTCCTCCTCTCCTCCTCCCTCCTCCTCCCTCCTCCTCCTCCCTCTCCTTCTCCTCCTCCTCCTCCTCCTCCTCCTCCTCCTCCTCCTCCTCCTCTCATTCCTCTCTCCTTCCCCTCCTCCCTTCTCCCAGTCATTGCCCCTGCCTTCATAATGTCTCTTGCGCGGAGCCGAGCGGCGAGGACGAGGCCGGCGACGACGATGCCGGGCACACGGCACCTCCGCGACGACGTCGGCCTCGACGGCGGCGTCTGCGGCGGCAGCCCGAGCGGCGGCGGCCGGCTCGGCCCGTGGCTCCGAGAGGACTGCGAGCTCCCCGCGGGTTCCTGGCATCTCGAGCTCTCCGAGTCGGGGCACTCAGGCGCGGCGGCGGGGAGGGGAGGAGGGAGGACCCAGGCAGGACCAGCCCTCTCCCTGGTCCCTGGCCCCTCTTCGTCCTCCCCTTCGCCTCGGGCGACGAGAACTATGCACATGCATCGATTCTGGCCGGGCCCACCTTTGGCGCATGTTCAGTGCATATGCCTTCCTGGCCAAGGCAGGAGGGCATATGCACCGATCCTGGCCACGGCAGGAGGGCGTATGCACCGAGGAGGGAGGACCCGGGGAGGACCAGCCCTCTCCAAGTCTGTGAGTGCTGTGCAGCTCCCTCCCGCCCAGGCCCCTCCAAACACCCTCGCCCACAGCCCTGGGGGCCCTGTTCAGGACGGGAGGGGGTGGGACAGGCGGGGCTGGCGGAGGTACGCACGCAGTGCTGCAGAACTCCAGCAGGCTCGAGGCATGCACTCGCTGGTTGCACACCTCGCATCTCCATTTTGCGCCGTCCTGGGCCATCTGGTGGCCCGTTTCGCGGAGAGCTATCTTCACGCCGCTCTCGCGGGCCCCACGAGGCGCGATATCTTCGCGCTCGGCCAGGATCGTGTCGCAGTCCAGGGCAAGTTGTAAGGCCTTGGACGCTCGACGTCTGACACGAGCGGCAACAGCATCCCAACTGTCAGCGTGGGGCGCAGCATGCATGAAGAAGGAGGAGGAGGACGACGAGGAGGAGGAGGAGGAGGAGGGGGAGGATGAGGAGGATGAGGAGGAGGAGGAGGAGGAGGAGGAGGAGGCCACACGCGACCAGATGTCCGTCCGGCATGCGGTCCTGATGTGTCAGTGTATACGCCAGGCTCCCGCACGTGCATCCGGCGTGCGGCCTCCCGGTGTTCCACGAGCGGATGCAGCCACGTGCGTTTCAAGCTTCCCGGTACGCGTCTACAGTCAACCCGCATAGTAAGGACGGGCAACCTTCCCAAGGTCGGGGGCGGACAAGAGGGGGGTGATGACTAGGGGGGGGATATCATGGCGGGGGGCATGATATTTCCTCAGATATCATGGCGCCTCTTCTTATTTCATCACGTCCCTGGCCCCTCCGCTGGGCCGCGCACATGCCGCCAGTCATGATTTGCACCCCCCCTCTTGGACACCCCCGTCTCGGTCGCTCCCGACAAGGGTACCCTTGCATCCCTGCCTCCTCGGTCCATCCTCGGCCACTTCCGTTGGCCGCGCCCCGGTCGGGCAGCTTCGAAATGTGTTCCTAAGGCCCTTGCGTCCTTATCGCGCATCCTCAGTACACGGGCTGACTGTACGGTCGAGCATCTGTTTGGAGTCCCGAAACGGTGCGGTGACAGACCGTGCGGTGACGTCGGACCCCCAAGAGACCTCACCGCACGGTCCGTCGCCGCACGGTCTTGGGACCCTGGAGGCCCCTGTCGCCCGAGACATCCTCGGAGAGGAACTGTAGTCCCAAAACCGTGCGGTGACCCCGAATCCCCACTGACTCACCGCACGGTGTGGTTACCACACCGTTTGGGGGCCTCCGAATCTGATTAAGAAACCTCCTCTCGAAAAGCTGGGCCAGCGTTTCTTGGCCAACTTGCCGTAAAGCTGGCTCAGTTTCTTGAGCGCGGTCGCCCCTCCAGCGTGGACAACAAAACCTGGCCCAGGTGAGTTTTAATAGGCTTCCGGGAAGCTGGCCCAGGTTTCTTAGGCGACAAGTTTCTTGGTCATATTGTCCGTTGTATGCGTCTATGTTCCGAGTTCCGCGCGCATGTCTTGGGTCGGTGTTGGGTCCCCCTTCCCCACGCCCCTTCCCTGGCGCGCGCAGCGCGCTGGGGGCGGCGCCGGAGGCACCGCCAGGGGTGTGTGGAGGTCAGGCCCATTGCGGACCAGAGGAATCCCCACGGACCTCCGAAAGTTGTTCTACATTTTTGTGTCACAATGTATGGTAGGTTCATATGGCCATGGCGCGCTGGCGACGCCGGCGAAGGCGTTCAAGATTGAACCCCACATGATAGAACGACGCGGAAGCACTGAGGGGCATGGTGACGCCGCTGGACCCGACGGAATTCAGCCTTGGACGATCGGGGCCGCGCTCGATTCAAGGCTGAGCGATCAACGCGGCGTCAAAAAGCCTTGGCGCGCGCCGATGCCGCAAGAACCTGCCGTGGTGTTCCAGCTCTCCGTCCTCGCGTGCCGCTTGCTTCTCCAGTCATGCTGTGGCGTGCGGCTCGCCCGCGGAGGCGTCGTCGCCTTTGCCGACCACCGGGCGGCGCGCGGGGCTCTGAGCGAGCCTCCACCGATGGCAGCGGCGCGCCGCCGCGAGGACTTCTCGGAGGCCGCAGAGGACGCCGCTCCCCACAGATGCTCCTGCTCCTTCCCCCGCTCGGCGGCGGGCCCTGGGGGGCAGTGAGAAGGGGCTGGCCTTCTCGGAAGGCTGGGAAGTCCCCCGACCTTCCGAGAAGCATTCTAAGCTGGGGGGGGCCCAAAGATGTACACCACCACCACCTCCCTCGCCCCCTCCCTCTCCCGGGAGAGAGGGGAGGAAGAGGAGAGGCAGAGCAGGGAGGAGGCATCGACGTGGTGGCGGTGGTGTATACCCTGGGGCGGCCCCCATAAGCCCTCCCCGACGACACAGAAGACTGCCCAGAAGGCCGTACGGCTTCTGAGAGGCCCCGCCGCCTTCTGATAAGGTGATGTCGGGCCCGTCCCTCCACAGGAGGAATATTCAAAAATAGTGAAACAACAATCTTGGGCCTGGGGACTATTCATTGAGTGTGTTTCGACCATTTGGGCGTTTTTTTGAGTATGTTTTATATTTCGTCGACAATCCCCCTGTGGGGGGACACGCCCGACTTAATGATAAGGCCTTTGCTCCCTCTCACCCCCCCCCCGAGCGCGCCGCCGACCCACATGCATCCGGCGGCTCGACAACGGCGAGGCGGCCAGTGTTGTTCCGTTTTGTGTGCGTTGGCGTGTGTGTGTGTGTGCGTTTGCGTGTGTGGGTGTGCGTGTGTGTGTGCGTGTGTGCGTGTGTGTGTGTGTGTGCGTGTGTGCGCGTGTGTGTGTTGTGTGTGTTGTGTGTTGTGTGTGTGTTGTGTGTTGTGTGTGTTGTGTGGGTGTGTTGTGTGTTGTGTGTGTTGTGTATGATGTGTGTATGTGTGTTGGGTGTAGTGTGTTGTGTGTGTGTGTTGTGTGTGTGTGTTGTGTGTGGTGTGTGTTTTGGCGGGCCAAAAAGTAACACCACCACCACCACCTCCCTCCCCCCCTCCCTCTCGCTGGACAGAGGTGAGAGGATGAATTGACGTGGTGGTGGTGTATATTCGTTGGGCCCCCGTGTGTGTGTGTGTGTGTGTGTGTGTGTGCCCGGCTTCTTCCTTTCGTCTGCCGTCGCCGGGCGTTTTTTTTCTCTCTCTCCCCCGTGCATCGCGGTTTTATTCGCATTCGTGCTCAGGCTCTTCTGCCAGCGCAGTCACTCTGCCTAGCCGCCGACGCGAACAGGGTGTGTTTTGGGGAGGCAGACGCCGCTTGGCTTCGCATGGATGGTAACACACTCTTTTTGTGTGGCAGGGTCATGGCATTGGGGAGCAGAAGGCTCAGTTTCGCATTACGAACTCCCTTCCCCATCCCCATCCAGGCCCCCACCATCTCAGCACTCCAATTGGGGACATACTTTCTTGAAACCCGAAGGAAATAGCGTACATCCCAAACTTGTGAGGTAAATGGGCCAATTGGGCACAGGCCACGCACATGGTGATAGGCTGCCTCCTCCTTGATGTAGGCTGCCTCCTCGTCATTCTCCTCTTCCTTCTTCAGTTCCCCAAGTCGGGGAAGCCCCTCCAGGCGCCTGAAGCCTAACGGGATGTTTTTCCCAGTCTGGTGTCACCCCTGATTTTCTGTTTTATTTGATGTTCAGGATTTGTTGATGACGAGCTGGGTCCGATGTTGGCCCTTGCTCCCGTTTCCAGTTGCAAGACTCGAACGTACGCGACTCTGCTCCCCTGGTTTGTGGTCCACGTTGGGCGAGCATGGATCAGACGGCCTAGATCTCGAGGCATCGCGAGGTGAGACAATGCGTTATTTTGTTGTGTTCTCGATGTGGGCCTTTAAGGAGTTGTTGATGGGCCCAGGGGCGATCCTGCTTCCAAGCCATGCGTTGGTGTTGGTGGCAATACCCAGACCTCCCAAGGGAGGGACGGGAGTGAGGGAGGGAGACGGCTGCATCCTTTCATCTCGTTCGAGCATCGTTCCAGGGATGTCAGGGTGGACGGCCCGGCTGAGCGTGGAGCTCGTACGCACCCGCCCCAGCTGTGCAACTCCCAACAATCCCTCCGTTTTTGTGGCTGTTTGTCGAGTGTTCCCCGTGAGTGGCTGGCCGGAAGGAGATCCTCCTGGCCTTGCGGCCAGAAGAGCGCGGCGGCACGAGCGACAAGGTGGCGCGCCGCTTCATTGCAGGCGCGGTTCCGTGCCCACGCCTGCAGTCAGCTCTGCTCGTTGACGGCAAACGTTTGGCTCTGCTACAACGGGAGGTTTGTTCCAAAGGACTGCTTGACCACTGACCACCCCAGGGTATTTCTCCCGCCGTCTTTCAGCGCATTGCTTATTCGGTGGAGTAGGGGCAAACAGGTTCTTCAGGACAACAAAGGTTAGGGCGTCGTCTAGTCTGGCTGCGTTACCGGTGACCCGTCTGGAGTTCTCGTCGTGCCATGGCCGCCAGGATGGACCACCCATGAGTTTGTTTCCCTGCGCCCCGAATTTCCTCGTCCACTCTGGTCTCGATCGATCGTTGGTCGAACCAATCAAACAGGTGCGACAAGGTCTGCGCCTACTGTGGGCAGAAACGCAGGTCGACGGCACGCAGGCAGCAAGCAAATCAGAAGTCGGCCCGCCAGCTGGTGGCCCACGGAAGCCACTCCTTCCCGGGTGGCCTCGCGTACCCGCTGGAGTCCTGCCGCACCCTGGGAGGCGCAACGCTGGCGAGAATGCTCACGACTGCCGCTTGGGGCCAGGGCAGTCTGGGTCGTGGGCGCCACATTTCGAGGGTTCCACCTTGACACCGCGGCTGCGAGGCCAGAGAGGCATCACGCCAAGCCCAGGAAGTTCGCATCCTTTGCGACGGTCTATGTGTATATATATATATGTATACAAGGCTGCAGTGGCGCTTCGCGCCATGCACCTTGGTCCTTGAAGTTTGGTATGCAGGCGGAATAGCAGGAAGGTCAAGCCGACAATTTAGCAATAACTCCTGGTTGTCTTTTCTAGCATCGCCGCTATAATAATGTTATTCGTTATCCTTCCTCCATGCTTCTTTTTCTTTTTTTTCGCCATGCCCTGCGCATTCTCCCCATCCTCCTCAGCTCTTTTTTGCGGAGGCTCCTCCTTGGAGAGCCTCTAGGGGCCTCACAAAGTTGTTTCAGGCTTTCTTAAGGCCTTTGAGACCTCTTGGGCGTATTCTGGGGGCCTCCGGGGGCTTCCTCTGGCCACCGTGCCTCCAACCGCGGTCTCCCTGAACGACCGAATCACGATTTGAAATTCTTCGGAGGGTGTCTTTGGGCCATCTTGGGCCGCCATGGGGCTCTCTGAGGGCCATCTTGGACCCGTGTTGTGCCGTTTTGGGGTTCTCTTGGACTGCCTGGAAGCCCTTTCGGATGGTTGTGGGGCGATGTTGGAGCCTCCCAGGCGGCTTCGGACGCCCAGAAGACCGCCGTCTTGGAGCGTCGGGAAGCCGAAAAGAGGAGAACCCTAAAATTCACCAAAAACCAACAGAAAATCAATGATTTTTGCATCGGGGGTCCTTCTTGGGAGTGCTCTTGGAGGCCTCTTTCGGGCCGTCCTGGAGGCCTCTTGGGCCATCTTGAGGTCACGTCGGTCACTCTTGGAGCGTTCTTGTGCTGTCTTGGGGGTTTCTGGGACGTCTCCGATGACCCCCTGATCGCCCTAGGTGTGCTGGGAAGGCTTGGCAAAACGCCATGTGAGGGCCGGTGACCGCTTCGAGGCTCGTCTGGAGGGTCTCAAAGCCCCAGATCTCGGGAGTCCGTTTTTTTTTGGGGGGGGGGGCGGGTGTTCCCCCCGCCCGGGCTTATACAAATATAGAAAGAGGAATATAAACATACACATATACCTTTACGATCGGCTGCACGGTGCGTGAAGCCGGGCACCTCGAATCGTTTGGCAACGGCTATGATCGTGTGAGGTGTTAGTGCTGAGCCGAGCGACTGCTCGGCGATCAACAGGTTAGCCAGAGACCACACGCAAGGCCGAGTTTCTCTCTTCGGAAACTGGAACGTATACATTACCAGTGGCGGTTTGTTTTTCAATCCCACAACTTTTTAAGGGTCAGGGACGACGTCGGGGTGGTGTGGTGTATACTTCTTCCCGTTTTCCAAGGGAAACAACGAAACATGTATACACCAGGATCCCGTGTACACCAGAAGCCGCGTCCCCGTGCGAATTTCAGCGCAGGGTCAGGAAGAGCGTCGGTGTATAGAGTTCGTTTCCCTAACTCTCTCTCTCTCTCTCTCTCGCTCTCCCTCTCTCGCCCTCCAAACCCCCACCCCACCCTGTCTCCCCCTATCCCCCCCCCCGCCCGCGGTGCCCTGGCGGACGACCGCGTGCTCACGCGGGAGCAGCTGCGGCGCATCCGCCGCCCCGCGCTCGGCGGCGGCCCCCGCCTCGCGGGCCGGCGGTCTCGTCCACTTGGCACCGCTCGGACGTGTGCATTTGTCCTTCGGCGGGGACCACCGCGGCGCATCCCTGACCACTTGGCGAGGACAAGCCACGCACGAGGCCGAGCAAAAACCTTCTGGCGAGGAAGAGCCACGCACGAGACCGAACAAAAGGCGCAGGGGCTGGGCGTCCGAGCGATGGCCACCGGTCAAGGGTTCGGCCCGCCCGCCGCGGCGTTTGGCACCTCGGGCTGGAGGGTCTGGGGCGGGCTCGGCGGGCCCACGAGAGGGGGGAGGGAAAAAGTCAGGGAGGGAGGGAGTCCGGAGGCCCATGAGAGGGGGAAGGGAGAAAGTCAGGGAGGGAGAAAGTCAGGAGGGAGAAAGTCAGGAGGGGGAGGGAGAACGTCAGGAGGAGGGAGAAAGTCAGGAGGGGGAGGGAGAAAGTCAGGAGGGGGAAAAACGCGCCCAGACGCAATTGAAGCGCCGACTTCCAGGGAAACATGCGAAACTGTGGGAAGTTGGGGGGGCGGAGGAGACAGAGACCCAGAACATGCAGGAACACCTGGGGAATCCTGCTTCCCGTGTGCGTTTATCTGCGCGTCCCTGGGGGGCCCCTTGCAGAAGAGAGGGCAGCCCCGTGGCGCGCCGACGCTGGTGGCCCGGCACCGTGTGGCCCCTCCGCTTGCGTCTGCAGGCGTGCTGCGCTGCCTGCGCATGGTGGGTCCCCCCCGCGGCGGCGGCGGCGCGTCGTTGATGCCGTGTTTGCCTGCCCGCGTGACCCTCGGCAGGGGCTGGGACCTCAGCAGTGCTTCGGCGAGT